CCCTCCTGCCCCCCATCCCGCCTCTATCCCGCCCCTCATCCTGCTTCCAGCCGGGCTCTCCGGGCGCTCTCCAACCCCCCAGTCCCACACTGGAAGCCCACAGGGAGCTGCCCAACCCCGACCAGCCCCAGCTGGGACTCCCCAGCACACCCATCACTCCCTCCCCCTCCTCCCGCCTTGCCCGGCAGTGAGCGCCCCGCGCCGCCTCAGCACCCAAAAAGTGTCGGGTTTAGCCCCAAAAAGCGCTGCCAAGCCCCCGGCGGGACCCGCCTGTCACCGGCGCCGCTCCCTCCGCGCGGTGCCTCACCTGGTGCCGGCCGGCGGCAGCGGGCCACGTCCGCGGGGCCCGGGCGGGGCGGGAGGAGGAGGAGGAGGAGGAGGAGGAGGAGGAGGAGGAGGAGGAGAGGACGGAGCGTGTCCGCCTGGCCGTGCCCGTCACCGCCGCTTCCTGCCCGGCCCCGCTCGGCGCTCGGCTGCGCGGCCTGGCGGGGCAGGCGGGGCAGGGGAGCGGCACCGCCCCGCGGATCGAACCGCCCGGGGCATCAGCGCTCGATTGATCGGCCTGAGCGGTCCCGCCGGGACCTGAGGGGAAGGGGGGGGGGGGGGGGGGGGGGGGGGGGGGGGGGGGGGGGGGGGGGGGGGGGGGGGGGGGGGGGGGGGGGGGGGGGGGGGGGGGGGGGGGGGGGGGGGGGGGGGGGGAAGTCCCGTTCTGAGGGGAAAAGCGGGGATTGGGAAGGACTGGGGTGTGTAGGGGGGTCAGAAGATTATAGGAGGGTCTCAGGGTCTATAATGGGACCAGGAACGTGTATGGACGTCTCGGGGTCTCTAGTGGGATCAGGGGGATGGGAGGGTCTCAGGGTCTGTAGCAGGATCAGGGGCGGTGTGTGGGAGGGACTTTTGGACCTGTAGTGGTCTCAGGTGTGTGAGGGCAGCTGGGCCTCCTGTAGTAGCCTCAGGTATGTGTGGATGAGGCTGTGGAGGTCATAGTGGTCTCAGGTGTGTGTGAGGGGTATCAGGGTCTGAAATGGTCTCAGGTGTGTGTGGGGATGCCAGGGTTTATAGGAGTCTCAGGTGTGTGTATGGGGGTGTCAGGGTCTATAGGAGTCTCAGGTGTGTGTATGGGGGTGTCAGGGTTTATAGGAGTCTCAGGTGTGTGTATGGGGGTGTCAGGGTTTATAGGAGTCTCAGGTGTGTGTATGGGGGTGTCAGGGTCTATAGAGGTGTCAGGTTTGTGTGGGTGGGTTGTCAGGATCTGTAGTGGGCTCAGGTGTATGAGGGGGGCAGTGTTTCAGCAGGGTAAAAATGCTGCTCTGAGTCTCTCAACACCTGCTGCAGGTGTTGGGGAGCCAGGACAAGGAGCATGTGTCCTGTGGCAGATCCCAGCAGGAAGAGGCTCCTGGTAACTAAAAAGAATCAGGTGGGACTTTGCAGCAGTCAAAGGCACAAAGGAGAAGGGACTGCAACAGGGATGGAGAGCTCTGGATTAGGAATTGCTTGGAGTAGAGGCAGGGAAAGGTGAGTTTATGCTGTTTCTGCCACACTTTGTGGTTACCCCTTAGTCCCAGCTTCTGAACCTAGAGACACTTTCCTTTGTTGTTATAGAGGTTTATTTGACGGGGGGGTAATTCTTTTTCTAAATAAAACTGACAGCTGTTTCCCTCTTGGGCTGCTAGAACCGTCCTCACAGATCCCTGTGAAACCAGAAGTACAGAAACCTGAGAGCCCCAAGTACCGGGTGAGGGGTGTTGGTGTGTCCTGTGCCTCAAAGGCCAAGGTACAGTATCGGCTTTTCTCGTTGCAGTGGTGCAATTCACACAATAAATGAGTTTCCTGTTTATAAAGCTCAGGTTATAACCTTTCTTTCCTTCTGTTTCTTGAAAACAGAAAGGAGAGCACAGCGAGCATGACTCGTGTGTCAGATACTCTGAAAAGCTGGTGCTGACCAGGCAGGAGGCAGAAATCTCTGCTCAAAGTGAGTGTGTATAAAACACTGAATGAGTTGTGATGAGAACAACAGCTCTGATGGAGGCACGAGCCAAGAACAACAGCTTGACAGGCAATTTTACACTTTCCCTGACAGCTCCTTGGGGCGTAGACAGTTAAGTTTCTGCGTTTGTAAGGGAAACATGGCATTCCTTACAGCTGAGCCTCCTCCCTCGGGTTCCCACTGAATGCCTGAGAGATGACAGCAGAGGGTGTCTCCAGAAGGCTCCTATTAAACAGGAGGAATTAGCACGGAGGGAGCAACTTCGAGATCCCAGTTTTGACCACAGAGCGAGCTAAAAAGCGTTGCATCAGCAGCTGTGTGCAGCCAGTGGGAAGGAAACTGCACACAGCTCCTGGGCAGGGGGCTCCCGTGCCCTCCTGGCGGTACCTGCGCCCTCCCGGTGGGTGAAGGGCTGGGCTGGGAGGGTCAATCGGCTCCAAACCGAAAGTGCTGAGGCAGTGCGAGTCAGGGCAGATTCACCTTGGGAGGGCAGCCGTGGTTCAGGCACACTTACAACCAGTCGGGTATCCCCAGCACCACGACCCAGGCGGGCAGGGGAGCGGGTGAGCCGAGTATGTGGACAGATGGAACAGATACAGACAGGAAATTGGGAAGAAATGGGGGGGGAAAACAGTGTTTTTAAAGCTCTAAGGGGGCTCTAGTTAGTTCTGAGAAAGGGGTTGAGTCGTGCAGTCTCGTTTCTATTTTTAGCTCTGTGACTGTATGACTTTAGGAAGCGACTTGAGCACTTCAAGCCAGGTGTGAGTGGGGAGAGGACAAAAACCCGTGGGCACCAGGCAGCTCATGCGATGTGGCAGCTGCCGCCACACCCTTTCCTGTTCGCCCCGTGGCCGCGGGCAGCCCTGCCAGCCGCGCTGCCTGAGTGAGGAGAGAGGGGAAAAGGAGTGCTTTCCAAGACGCTGATAACCCCCAGCACCCGGCATTCCTTGGAGAAGGTGAGCCAGTGAGCAGCTCTGGTGGTGTGTCTCCCCGGGGACAAGTCAAGTGCTCCCGAAAACCTTGGTTGCTGCTCCGAGGTAGTGCTGACTTTTGGCCGTGCCTTAGCCTGGCTCCTGTTACAGGCAGTGTTGACTTATGGAAAAAGGCACCGGGCATACTTGGCATGGGTGTTCCGAGTTAAAAATTGTCAGTCTGGGCAAACAGACCTTTGGGGTGAACTGCAGGAGAGCCAAGTGCCTGCAATGCGTTATTGCAGCTCTTGTCAGAACACCAGAGCGTGACCTGGTGCTGCTCCGGGTGCCGAGCGCCCGGCTCGGCGGGTTTTGGAGAAGTGCTGCGGGTTTGGGAGCTCAGTCCTTTAGACCAAACCCATTTCCTTCCCCTCGGTGAGGTGAGGTGTTTAGTAGTGAGTCAATAAGCTCTGCATGTGAGGAATGCACCTCGCAGCTGAAGGTGAGCCATTAGTGTGGCTGTGCTGGAGGCAAGGAGATTAATTAGTCCTTCCCTTAGACTTAAGAGCTGCAGAAATAAGATAGGTGAGATATTTGGCCTGGAATATCCATGTGAGGCATTTTCAGATGGAGTGAGATGCTTTTAATTGTTCCCTCGTGTGAATCTCAGCAGAGGATCTGTGTCTTGGTCCTTAATTCTGTAGCAGTGTCTAATCAGGATAACCTGTGCTGTAATGCAGTTGTGGGGCATTCCTGATGGATTTGGGCACGTGTTCTAGAAGCTGCTGTTTACTGGCAGGAAGGAACTGGTTCACCTGGGTGAAGGTGAGATCACAGTCCTGTGGTGGGGCTTTGCTGTGAGTATGGAGGAAGAGGGAAGCAATTTCTGTATTAAACTATAATAAAGTTCAGGTGAGTACAAAATGTCCTCAGAAGTCTGTTCTTAGCGCGGCAAGGTCCTGCCTGGTGAGGAGCAGCTCTGCTCTTTGTCTATCACGGGATCACAGGCTGGGTCAGGTTGGAAGGGACCACAGTGTGTCATCTAATCCAAGCTCCCTGCTCAGGCAGGGTCATCCCAGAGCACATGGCACAGGATTGTGTCCAGATGGCTGGAATATCTCTGGTATGGGAGACTCCACACCCTATCTGGGCAACCTGTTCCTGTGCTCAATCACTCCCACAGTGCAGAAGTTCTTCCTTGTGTTCAGGTGCAACTTCCTGGGCATCAGCTCCTGCCCATTTCTCTTCTCCCATTGGTGCTTCCCGCCCCTCCCCAGCAGAGCCTGGTCCATCATCCTCTGATCCCTCCCTGCAGACACTGGCAGATCCCCTCTCAATTGTCTCTTCTCGGGACTGAGCAGGCCCAGCTCACAGAATCATCAAGGTTAGAAGAGACCTTTAAGATCATCAAGTCCAACCGTTCACCCGAAACCACCACAATCATATCACCCAGCGCCAGGCCCCGATGCCTCTTGAGCACCTCCAGGGATGGTGACTCAGCCACCTCCCTCGGCAACCTATTCCAATGCCTAACCACCCTAAGAATGAAATTCTTCTTTTTCTAATATCTAACCTAAATCTCCCTTGTCTTAGATTAAGGCCATTTCTTCTGGTCCTCTCACTGCAGGCACGATAGAACACACTGTGCCCCGCCTCACTACAGCCTCCTTTCAGGCAGTTGTAGAGACCCACGACAGCTCCCTCAGCCTCTCCTCCGAACAGAGATGCTCCAGTCCCTCCATCAACTTTCACCCTCCACCGGGCTCGCTCCAGGACCTCCATCCGTGTGTTTCGCCCCGAAGAGCCCAGAATTCTGCACCACAGGCGGCCAAAAAGGGAGACGAACCATGACCAGCAGAGAAGTAAATCCCTCACCCCACCGCGGTGCGGGCGGGCCGGGGCCTCGAACCCGCGTCCCTGGCTCCGTCCCGGGCGGGGGCGCGGCGGCCCCGGCGCCGCCCGGAAGCGGAAGCGGCGCGGCCGCGGTTCCCGGCGCGGTTGCCGAGCGGCGGCCGCCCCGTCCCGGCCGCTCCCGCAGCCCCCGCGGCCATGAGCGCGGCCGGGATCGTGTCCGCGCCCCCCGCCGCCCCGCCGGGGCCGCCCGCCCCCGCCATGGCCCCCGCGCCCGAGTACTACGAGGAGGAGGAGCTGGAGAGCGCCGAGGAGGAGGACGGCGAGCGCAGCGCCCGGGCCCGCGACTCCGATGAGGGTGGGCGCGGGTTTGGTGCCCTGGGACGGTGTGGGAGGGGGTGGGATGGAGAAGGGGACATACCCAGGCTGGGAGGATGCGGGAGGGTCGGGTGGTTGAAGGCTCTGGAGCGGCGAGAACGCCCGAGGAAAACAAGCAGCTGTCGGGTTCTAGGAGCTCCCTGTGGAAGCTGCAAGACAGCCAAGTCCGTGGGGATGGTGGAGGAGAGGAGCCCACGGAGCGGTGGAGCTGTGGTTTTCTGAGTGAGGAGGAGGAGGGAGACGGGAGAGCGCTGAGCAGGGGGGATTGAGTGGGCCAGCAAGGGGAAAACTGGAGAAATCCAGTGTTAATTGAGTGGGATAGGAGGGTGAAAGTAGTTGATAAATGCAGGGTATTGATGGATGGGGCAGCAAGGGGAAAATGGTGGAGAAATCCCATGTACTGGTTCTGTTTCTGTGGTGTGAGTGGGGAAGGAGGCAGCTAAGGGAGGAGAAAGTGTGGACAGCAGAGAGGGAGTGTGGGAGGATGTGAGAGGGAAGAGGGCTTTGTAGAGCAGAAGAAGAACTGAAGCAAAACACAAGGTAACCAGGTGTGTAGAGTGCATAAAATAACAAGTAAGGGGGATGGAGGAAGACCCTTGGACAGTGCCTGTTGCTGTCAGCAGAGCCCTCTATCACCTCTGGTGTGGTCATGGATGGGGGACGTTAAAGATCCTGACAGTGTTTGGGTCAGTCAGGGCTCTCCAAGGCTACACACAACTAAATTGGGTATGGAATTCCTTTATGGTGACCCAGACATGTTAAGTAATTTTTTTGCTGTTAAAACTTTTTGTTTTATCTTTGTTGCGAGCTTCAACTGTTGGTAGGTTTAGAAAAAAATCTGAGAAAGGTTTGACTTAAGGGGCTGGCCCCCCTTTCCTGTGTAGGGAATGTAGGTGGGATTGAGTTCCACAGCTGTACCCTGTAAAGCCTGGAGACACTGGCCTCTCCTCGGGGAGGAAAACTAAGGGATTCTTGGCTACCCATGTGTTATAAATAGAAGCCTGAAAAGGCTTAGCAGGAAACTAGCAGTCCCACAGTGGTTTAATTTCTTTTTGTTACCTGTTTATAAAGTGGAGCTGTTTTTGTGGCAGTGTTGGTGCTTGTTGTTAAGCATTGAAGTGCTTCTGAGTGATGTGTAGCTGAGAAGTTCAGGTCACAGTGAGTAACTGTTCTCTTCAGTGAGACCTTTGTGATCAACCTGAGCAGCTCTGAGTGGGTGGAACTGCAGTGACAAGTTTGTGAAAGGTCTTACAGAGTCTTTCCTGCTCACCTGTGTATGTGTGAGCATTAATGTGGAGCCTGTTGTCTTAAATGGGAAGAAATTCCCAGGCTCTCTGAAGCTGGTGTTGTTTAGACTCAAGGTAAAGCTTCACTGCAAAACTCCCAGTTGCAGGAAGGAGGTGAGAGGGTTTATTCCACTCCTGAATTCTCTGCAGAGGCCCCTCAGGTTGTGTCTTTGAGGTTAGATTGCTTGAGGTTTGCGGATTGTTTTTTTGTTTGCTTATTTCTGTGCTTCTAAATAATTTTTTTTAATCTTTAATTTTAACAAGTTGTTTTTAACCTCATTTAGACACTGAGGATGCCAGTGAAACCGACCTGGCCAAGCACGACGAGGAGGACTTTGTAGAAATGAAAGAACAGTAAGTAACCCATGCTAATCAAAAGTAAGGTAATATTCTGTTTATCTGTGGGTTTGGGGATGTTACTTTGACAAAACTGCAGAGTTTTGAACCAAGATTGGGGGTTTTTAAATGGAATAGCTCATAAGACCACATACATGTATTTCTGCTCTTCTCAGTTACTTTCTCTGGTCTATATATATATATTCAAGGAATTAAGTGCTGCTGCTGTTTTGGCTCAAGGAATAGTTATGAGTTTTGAATTTTGCTGCAAATGGCTCCTGCTGCTTTAAATGAAACAAAGGATCTGCTTTATGTAAGCTAAGGAAAAGCAAGATGCCTGTCAAAATCCCTTAAACAAAGGAATGCTAGTCCTGGCCCAGAAATGGGTTTTTTGGAGACTGGAGGTAGTTTCCTGTGATGTTTAGAACTATTTACAGTATTTTGAGTTCTTGCTTACTGGCAGTGACGTGTTTTTATGAGGGTCAGGAAGGCTTGGCCTATGTTAAACCACAGATAGGTGGTAAAGGAAATGTAGGTTTGCAGCAGAACCAGGAATAGACTTTGGGTTTTTTAATAATGTCAAGATCTATGTGAGGAGATGCCTTGTGTTACATGTAGGGAGCTAATGCACAAATAGTAAGACTTGGCAAAGTGGCAGAGTGTTTGTGGATCTAAATGTCACTTTAGATATTAACATTAATAAATATTTATTGTGAATTGTTCCCGAAATATTTTTTTGGGTGCACTGTAAAACCAATGTGGTGGCAGAGGGGTTTTTTTAGGCAGAACAAAAACCTTTCATTTGGATAAAATTCTTTTAATTCATCATTCATTTCTCTCCTGAAGTTCTGAAAAGTTTTTAATTCTGTGTCAACATGTTGTAACCTGAAGAGAGTGTGGAATAAACTCTGTATGCTTGGCTTTAAAAGCAAAGTTTCATGCTGACTGTCTTTGCAGGATGTATCAGGACAAACTGGCATCTCTGAAGAGGCAGTTACAGCAATTGCAGGAAGGTAAGCTTTGAAGGGGGACTTATTTATATTCCTAGAAAATTTTGAGCACTTTTCAAATGTCATGGAAGGATGGGGGTATTGAAAGATGTAAGCTGCATCCTTCACTGCATGTTGGCTCTCAGCTGTGCTGCTGAGTGAAAAATGTCAGCCTCTTCCATCCTTTTTCCCTCTAGACACTTGTGGTTAATCCTCTGTGTGCTGAAGCGTTTCTTAAAAGGAGTAATCCACTTTCAGAAGAAGCAGGGAATATGCTTTTCTAAATGAAAAAGCTAGAACTTTAATTTTCTGATCTCAGATATTAGTGTTTGTTCTTCAAGTGGTGTGTGGCTCCTTGAGAAAATTTAATGTTTGGGGGAAAAAAGATCAGTGGGAATCTAGAGTTTATTTGCACTCCAGGTACTCTTCAGGAATACCAGAAAAGAATGAAGAAGTTGGACCAGCAGTACAAAGAAAGGATACGAAATGCAGGTAAGTGGAGTTTCTCTGTAAGACACTGCATCCAACTTAAATTTATGTTATTTAAAACACCTGAAGAAAAAAAGTAGTAATTCTGTGCTCCACCAAGTATAACAAGATCTATCTTGAATATTTTTTTCCCCCTCATTAGCATTGTTTTCTGACTGATACTAAACACTTATAAATAGTTTTAGTCTTCACTGGTGTGAAACAGCACAAGTAAAAACCGTTATTTAAATTTTATCTGCCTAACCCACAGCCTTCTACTTTTCCTTGTTGTTTTGTGCCAGTTGTTGAGGGTTGGGTGCACTGCTCCCTTCAATATGCAGGACTGGAATTTAGGAGCAAGTGCTTTCCCAGTGACCTTTCTCATGCCCCAGAACAATGAATACAGAGGGTTTGCTGCTGGAACTGGCATAGCTGGGATATGGAATGGGCTGCCTGTACTTTGTGTTCTACTCTGTTCCAGGAGCAAAGGCCCAAGTTCATTTTTACAGTGCCCAGCTCTCACCCTTCTGGGTGGCCTTTATTGTGTTACTGCAGAGGAATGGCTTGGAAATCAGGTCCCTTTCCTTGCCCTCCCTCTTTCCTATTCTCTCCCTAATAGGTTCT